AAAAAGTTAAGAAGTTGTATTAGTCGCTAAAACAGTCGTTTTGACTTCGATAATCTTCGATAATTGTTGATTGAGACACCACGTTGTGCTTATTAGTGCGTACTCCAACTTTGCAAAGGTTTGATGTTATGTTAATTTGAGATGAAATAGTTTTATATTATTGAATAGAAACAAGATCAATGAGAATAATGATTCAAGTTCATGAAATGAAAAGCTTGTCTGACCAAGTTCAGATTTTTAAAAGGTTACCTATACAATTAGTTAAAATGAGAGTTAAAATGATTGAAGATAATTCTGTTAAATATCTCTATGAAAGATAACTCTTATTGATAAAAGAAGAATTTTCTTTTCCTGTATCATTCTTGACCGGCAACATCTAAAAATTACGAATAATCATAATTTTCGAAGTCTGCCATTGTAAATAAGTCACTCCCTTAAAATTTCGAATTTTTTTTATCACAACCAACGTTTGCCTCGTATTTCTATCGTGAAAATAAAAAACGACATCCACCGGTCGACAATGGAAAATATATTATCGAAGTTTCGAATATTTTTTTTTCCCCCCTAAGCGCGCGTTCTTTCGCATTGGAAATTCCCATTAATTCACCGGCGAGCTTCGATATATCTCATGGAAGCTCGATCGGACAGCGTTTTTCGTTTCAATCTGTCCGCTCCTCTCTCCTTTTCTTCTCCATCCTTCTTTCTTTTCCCTCCTTCTCCACGCATCCCCCTCGCATGAAAGATACTTGAAACCGCAACTTAACCCAAATATCAACATTGGTTATTTTTAATTGCTCCATAGGGACCCGCGCGACTATTAATAACCCGCGCCTCGAGAAGAAGGGACCTCGATGATCATAAAGCGTGGAATTTTAATGATACACACACACACACACACATATACACACACCGTGCGTACACACGGTTGTCGCAAATTATAAGGGAAAAGCGGCGTGGCGCGCACATTTAAAGATTATAGGAACCTATAAAGCTTTAGCCGCGCAACATTTTATAAAGCCGATTATTCGGTATCTCGAGGAGGAGTGGAACAGAATCCAGATGGGGGAAGGGGTGGGGAAGGTTTTGCCTCGTTTCTCCGTTTCGAACTGACGAATCTTCCAGGAATTCGATGTACGCTCGACCAATCCCGCGATGGAAAACGTTGTAACAAAGTTGGACAGGGTGAAATGATTGTTGGAAGGATGAAATTTCCAAGTGTCTCCGCTTTCGTTAATCCTTTCCTAGCCCCTTCGAGTTCTCCTCTTTTGTAATTTGTTAATGGAGAAATTAAGGGGAGACGCAAGTGTGCGCGAGGACGGGGCGAGGATGGAAAAAGGATATTTGGAGTGGCAGTTTCTTTATTGTTTTAGATAGATGATTTTATTAAGAATGTTTCTCCTATATAGAGTTTAGAAACTCGTCTTATTCCAACAAATGAGCAACAATATTAAAAATTATTAGTCATTCATGATACTTTTACACCACTTAATATGGCCGTTCACACTTTTCAAACGACTGACTAATGACGCATAGGTAATATTAAAATTAACCAACCACAAAATGATAAAATTCTTATTATAGCCACTTACAAAAGAAAATATGGATAAGTATATACCACGTGTATGTGTGTGTGTGTGTGTGTATTGATCATAAACGAAATATACTAAAAAGGAGAAACGTTTATTAACACCCTTGCTCGATTACGTAGTTGCTAAACTGCGTAACAGTGATTTTATAACTCCAAAATGATAAAATTCTGAACACGATCATTCGCACAATTTCGAATGCAATGAAAACACACAGTGTATCATCGAGTGTACACGCGCGTGTATTAATCGCACACATAGAAAATCGTGCACAGAGATGAAGAAACAGTGATAAAGAGATAAAGAAACAAGAGATAAAGAGGGAAAGAGAAGAAACGTTTATTAACTCGCTGGCACGGCTAACGACGACGTTTAGCCTGAAAGAAGGCGTGTGCTTGTTTTGAAGGGATCAAAAGGGGGAGAAGGTTGCAGCAGGCAGGCGGCGGCCGCCTCTGAAAGCCCGCGAAATTTCCAGCGACGCAAACATTTTTTTCGCCTCCTTCCCTTCTCTTAGTTCCTCGCTCGTATTCTTTCCTCCATTATTCTCCTTTTCTCTCCCCCTCGTGACTAGAGAAACGAGCGTTTAGGAAAGGGGAGGAGGAAGGACAAGTGACGAGCAACGGGTTTCACACGAACGAAGACGCCGCGACAATTATATATGCGACGCCTTATTATAATCTGCCTCTCTCTCTTTCTCTTTTTATACATATATATATCTTTTCGTGTCGTTTAAAGCAGCTGGAACGTCAACGGGACCACGCATATAATAAGGAAGGAAAGAAAGGGAAGCGTGGCATGGTGAATATAGGATTCTACACGGTCCCTCTGTTGCCGGCCTAACCTCATTTAGTTAGAAAGTGTTTGCGCGATGAGACCGGCGCGAGGTTTAATTGGAAACGCCTCGTGTCTATCGCATCGCGTTCAAACCCAGAGGAGAATGTCGTCCTCTGAGCCCTCGGCCGTAATTGGTCGCCTTTCTCGCTTCATCCGAGACCGCCGCGATTTTCCAGAGGGGATACCCGTCCGCAGACACCCACCCACCCAATGATAAATTTGTATATTCGGACTAATGGCGCGCCTCGCGACGAGTCTCGTCGAACAGAGTTTGGGAACGAGATTCATGAGATTCTTGGATGAAATTGTGCTCGGTTTAAGGTGGAAAAAAAAAGAAAAAAGAACGATGGGTTAGTTGGGTCGCGAATGGATGTGGAGGAGAAGTAAGTTTTGTGTAATAAGAAAATTGTGTTTGATATCAAGATAGAGTTAGTTGATTTTTTATTGATTGGAGAACTTTAGTTTGCAATGATGTTTTATAGTTAAATTGAAATGTGAAGTAAATAGAAATGATATTTCAGAAATGTTGATCTTGATAATTGTGCTTTGATAAATGGAATTATCATATAAATATTTAAATAGATGGAGATATTATAGGAGATATATGTATGCGTAATAGAAACGTAAAGAAATAATAATTGTTATAAAAAGTTATATTTCCATGAAGATTAATTAAGATAGAATCAATAATTGATGGAAAAAGTCTATTAATAATTTAATAATACAAAAGTCTTTTTCTTTCATATCATTATTTAAGAGATATTCTGATTAATATTTCATAACATTCTTTAAGAATTTTTTACAGCAAAAGTATAAGAGTTAATCTATTGAAATTTTATTATATCATTATACTATTTTATTATACTATTATACGATATAATTACTCTATTCTAATATCTTCTTCTTCTTTTTCTTTTCTTTTTTTTTCTTAAAATATTTCTTTAATCTGTTCTCAAGAAACATAATGGCGGAATTTAATTTTTAATCTTTACGTAATATAATATATTATGTATATAATTTATAAATCTCTTTAACTTGAAATAAAAATTTTAATTTTCATGTTTAATAAGAATATGGAGAGATCAGGTATTAAAATAAACATTTTATGACGAAAATTCTTAAAATGGTGGCCATTAAATTAAGATATTAAAATTGTAAGATAAACGTAAAAAATTATTATTAAAAAGGAAGTATGTATTATTCAAGTGATTTTAAAAAACAGATCGGGACAAATATGTATATATATATATCGTTAAAATTTTATCAATAATATCGTACAAATGTTAATATTTCTCGCCAATGAAAATATTTCTGAATAAAAACAAGAAACAAAGGAAATGTTTCACAGCCATAAAATGAAATTTTTATCAGACTTGTAATAAGTCGTAAACGAATCCGGATCGCAATACCATTAAAATCGATTCATTAGTACCAGCTACTGGAGGGAAAATCGCTTTGTTAATGCTTCGATAATACGTACGACATACACTGAACGATCGCCGCATACACACCTACTTATATTTTTGCGAATTATCAATTTTTAGTCAACATCATTGAATTCGTAATGCGTATCCGGCATAAATCTGGACTCGTTAATGTACCCAGCTACCCGTATAACCCAATGAAATATTAATGAACGTAGAAATATTCGTTTTCACGAACAAAGAGAAATCTCGTAATTATTGGCGCCCCCTTTCGCTTTATCCAACCCCTTCACTTGATCAAAAACCTTACCCTCGTAGTTTAACATCCCTCCAATAACCTACTGTCTCTTTTCCTAAATATTGAGTTGGCCACAAAGTTTTTATTAACATTTATATTTGTTCTATGAACCAATTTCAAGGTTCAACGCAACAATCAAATTGGATTCTAATCAATGTTTCGTGAATTTAGTAATTTATTATAATTTATTACAAACTCTTTTTGTGACATCAAAGACTCTTTATCATTATTGATGAAAACGTGTGAATGTATTGATGATCTTATCTATAAAACTAGAGATAAATAGCATATAATTAATTTTCATTTCCTTTTTTTTTTTTTTGATAATTAACAAATATGTTAACTGCACAGGCTACACACATCGATACAAAAAAAGAATTAATGGAATTGGAAAAAAAAATCGTTTTCCAATAGAACAAACATTACATGCATTCTTTCAAATAAGAATTGGATTGAAATATTCCTTTTCATCTACTATAATGCCTCAATTTTACTCCTTTATACTATCATCTTTTTTGAAACTTTTTATAAATTCTTCGATTCTGAAGAGATAAAAACGATATTTAGATCAAATTTTTGAAAAACAAGAATTTCTGTAAATGAGATGTTCTTCTGAAAGATTGAAAATACAACACAAATTAAAATGGAGAACGTATGACAGAGTAAAGATACTTATTTTTCTAAAAAAAAAAAAAAAGAACTTTCCATCGAACGATAAAAAGCTGCACAAATTTAATACTTTTACACACCCTTATCTTCAAAACAAATATTTTTTTGCGTTTCAAATTAGAATTCAATTGATCTAATCAGAGGTAATTAACGTGGCTAATTAATCGACGTTATTCGCTATTGTTTCAGGATGTTTGGAAGTAGTGGTGCTTGTGCAGGTTGCGGCAACGCGATACCTGCCACCGAGCTGGTAATGAGGGCGGGTGGATCGGTATTTCATCAGAAATGCTTCACCTGTAGCAAATGCGGAAATCAACTGGTTTCCGGCGATAGGTAAGATTCAGATCTGATTAATAGACTCGCTAACAATTGTTATTGCTACGTTCTCACTGGAATAACAACGAAAAAGAACTTTTTGTTGTCTCTTGCATGTTCCACAAACGAACATTGCCAACTTAAAGAAATATTTTCTCCAAGATTGAAAGTAATATAATTTTACGAATATTTTTGATAGTGATTTCGGTTTTGAAACTTGCCACTATTAGCAAATTAATTCGGCTCAAGTTGCGAACTATGATTAAAGAAAATTTATTATTATTAATGGTAAAAAAAGAAAGAAAAAGTGAAAAATGTTCAAGCAAAGAATATCGAGTTTAATCGAATCTAGACCAAAAGAATTCAGAAATTACCGTCATAGCTTATTAACAGATAGATAACATCTTTAAAATTTTGAATATCGTACAAATATTCATATCTTCTATACTCCAATTAACTTGATAATTAAATCAAGATAAAGAATAGAGCATCAACAAAAAATTTTTCGTTGTTTCAGTAAAGAATTAGTTGCATATTACAACACTAGAGTAACGAGGAAATCTGGGGATGAAATGGAATCAATAGTAGATATCATGAACTCGATATTATTAGAATTTTACCAATAATTCCGTTTAGGGTGAATATATACAAACTCGAAAGAGAAAACGCGGCAATTAAAGGGTTGGAAAAGAGGCGTGTCACAGTGAGACTGTCGGTTAATTGGTGGGGATCGCAACTGGGGATTTTGTAATAAAGGAGGAGGGACACAATTATCGTGGCCCGGTAATGAAGCAATCTTGTTTATGAGCATCGATTTCGTGGATGCTCTGTGTATGCTTTGCTTGATTACAGCCGTTCGTTTCGAAGCACAATTTTTGTTCGTATGAAACGATTACCTGTATTACTTATACTATTGCTATTTCCATTGGTATTGGCACAGACGTAATGGAAGTATAGTACTATATGTATATTATATAGTCAATTCCTCGTCCAGAATAGAAATGTAAGACGAATTACGAGTAGTTGATCATTTAATAACTTAATTAACTTAATTAAATAATCGCATTGATCACGTACACTCTTATCTATAAATCATTAGACTTTATAATATTTCAAGATATGTATAAATTACATGAATATTAATTGTTACAACGTTAACACGTAACATTGTTAAATATGCAAATAATACAAATTTAAAAATAGTTGCAACTGCAATAAATATTTTCCTTTTTCCAAAATTACCATACAAAGCAAGTCGCATTTCAATAAATATCTTTTCAAAATTTTGTGTGATCGCAATAGAAAAAAAAATTAATAAATAAATTTACAAGATTAATTAATCGTTTAAAATTACGATCAAATGATTTGTAGACAGAAATGTACAATTCACAATTTTACTTTCTACTTTCACCGTGTTAAAAAATATTATTAAGAAACTTACCACAAGGAATCGAGACGTGAACAGAAGAACTAACAAAAATCCATTTCTCCGCCCAGGTATTACTTGCTATCGGGGTCACCGGTATGCGAGACGGATTGGCACAAAATCGTGAAATCGTCGAGCGTAGCGGCCGCGGCCGCCGCGGCAGCGGCCGGAAACGGTGGTGCACCGGTAAGAAAAGGTAAGGTCGGTCGGCCTCGAAGGAGTCGCGAATGAGGCGGCAACCCGGTCGGTCGCCCGAAGAAGGTACAAGCCTCTCCACAGCCTACGCCCGCCGTCGTGCCCTCTCAGGTCGACGTCGTGGACGTGGCCGTCGGAGGGGATCCCTATTCGCCGCCTCCGCCGGGTCATCAGCAGTACCACCATCATCACCACCACCATCACCACCATCATCAGATGGGAGTCGTACATCCGGGACTGGCGGTACAGCAAACGCACCTGCAGGCGTCCACCTATCAGGACTGGTCTCCGTGGGCACAGGACACCTGCGACTGAACAACCTTAACCCTCGTTGAACCTCGAGGCCGTCTCCCGGCTGAACGAATCCTCTCCTGGCTCGGGCGCCGCCGCCGTTCACTTCTTCAACGTTCCGTTCCACATTCAGCGTGGAAGAATAAAGAGTGTTCTTAACGATCTTTCATCACTGGAATCGTGAACTCCTGCTTCGGTTAGCCGGTTCGCGTAACTGTTTTCTCTCGCGGTTAGAACGAATTTTCGTGACTCGCCTTTTTGTGAACAACGCGAACCTTGTGCAAGAGGGGACGAAGGGCCGAGCCTGGGATACCTGGTGAACGAGATTCTCGTTCCGATTGTGAAACTCCGAAGAACTCCGTTGAAGAGAGAAAAATATGTTTCTTGTTCGTCTTTCGACGTGTCCCCGAACGCGTGTTCGACTCGGTGTTCGGCCGCGCGCCATGACTGCTGCGCGCGCATCCGCGCGATTCGATCCCCTCGAGGGCGATCGAGACTATCGATAACCTCGAATCGTGCGCACGGCCACCGCGTGGAGCCGCTGTAAGCATCTTTCTCAACTGGTCTCCCTTCCCTAATCGATAATCTTTGCTCAATCACGGAAAATTGAGGGTAATTGAAGCGTGTTTGAATGCGTTTTGGCCGCGTGCATCGTCGCTGACACAACAACAACAACAACAACAACAAGACGCCGGCATTTCTTCAGTGTTTTTCGGTGCTCGTCCGTGTTTAATCGAATCCGCAATCCTGTTAATCGCACGTCAGGTAACCAGCAATCACTTTCGCGCTCGTGTTTCACCGCCTTTCCTCTGGTAAACGCGACTGCATCTGCGTTCGATGCCCTCCCTCTTCACTCTGCCCCTCGTCACGGTGGTTTGTTCAACACTGGCGCTTTGTAATGGTTTCGTACGATTGAGATTTTGTAAGCGTGAAATGTTTCGCGGTTTAACGACAAGAAATTTTGAAACAAATTTTGCCGTATTATTTGCGAATATTGTTTTTTTTTTCTTCTTTTTCTAAGTTTTTCATTGCGAAGATTATGTAACATTTGATTATATAACGCTAGTTTTATTTTACTCTTAATAACGAAATGTTTGATTAATATTTTTATTTTATATTTGACTTTCGAGATTTTATTAATTGCGGGAAGAATAGGACTTTTGTTTCAATCAAATTTGTCGAAATACTTGGTTGCTTTTATTATTATTATTATTATTATTATTATTTTTTAAGTGAATTTTCTTTGGTTTTTTATTTTTTTTTATTTCTTTTCTTTTTCTATATTTTTTATTTATTTTCATTTTTTTTATTGTTTTCATTTGTTTAAGTTGAACGAAGAGACCAAGATTTGACAAAGGAATTTAAAGATTTAAAATAAACAAAACAGAAGTTAATTAGATTAATGATAATTGAAAATGATTATTTATCTGTCGATAGAATAATAGAACCTCCATTATTCGAATTAATAGGGGGACAAACTTTCGAATAAAGAAACATTCGGATAACATAGATTTTTCTTAGATGAATTATTTTGGGGAAAACAATACGCTTATTTGCAATAAAATTGAGATGATAGCATAAAAAAAAGTATCTATTATAAAAATTAGGGAACTCATACTTTTTTTTAGTTGTCACATTGCACAACTCTTTTAATATATATGCAAAAAATATACATTTTTTTTTTTTTAATACCAATGATTATGGATTTTCCAATGTAATTATGTATGTACTTTTGTTTAATTTTATAGCAACTTTCTTCATTTTCTCAATTTTCCAAGTATTTTTTTCCTTTCAATAGTTAATACTAAGTACACATTTATGTTTCAATATTATTATTGCACATTGTGCAAACTCATCCAATTTCAAATTAAATTAAATTTTGCAAACGCGAATATAGATAGCATACAATTCGGTTAGTAGAATGAATATTAGAATATTCGAATAATGAAGGTTCCATTATACTAATTTTACTTTATCCTCAAGAATTAAATTTTAATAATTACTCGAGAAATAATTGTTCCGTTTCCAAACACTCGATTCTTTTTTTTTATATTCTTTCAAGTAAAATTCAATACAAAATCTGATACAACAGTATTTCAAGATCTAAAATTAATAACAATCCAAAACGATTATTCAATCCTATTAATTATTACTTTTGTTTTATCTCTCAAAATCAATTAATTTGAATAATTACTTTTAAAAAAATATTTTCTTCTTGTACAAAACATCCAAGATTGTTTTTACTTATTTTTTTTTTNTTTTTTTTTTTTTTTTTTACTCGTATTCCTTTAAATAGAATTTTCAAAGAGGGCAGGATCTGACGCAGGGATCGAGATCTAAAATCACGTGTACAGAAAAGAAAATTCCATCGACTCGGATAATTCGTCGATTGAGAACGTCAGCTCCTAGCCCTTAGAAAATTATTTTTCTTTCAAAATCAACCAGCCCCTCCCTCCTCCTCGAGACACAACCTCTCCCTGTAAACTCATTAAGCGTTCCTTGTTCTCGCGATCGTTTAATCGAGTCTCTCCTGTCCTGGAATAAAAGGTCGACATCACGAGGTGAAATCGTCGAACGAGCGAAATTATCATTCGAATTTTCCAACACCGTTGAACTCCCTCGTGGTCGGACCGGTTCTCTCCCTTTGCGAAATTCCCTGATCCAGATTGTGCAATCAGAGGTGGATAAAAAAAAACTGTTCCTCGAGCATTACCCAACTCTCATCGAATAAGGATTTTAAGGATTTTATTTATCTTCCCAAGTTTGTTATTAATTGTTTTTTTTTTTTTTTTTTTTTTTTTTTCTTTTCCTTATGGAGTTATTATTGAGGCTTTCGAATGTGTCATATCATTATTTGTTATCATTATTGTCGATTTTAATTTATTTAATATAAATTACATTATCCTCTAATGATTTTTATCAGTTTATGGATATTTTGTAGAATAGAATGTTCGAATATAACTTTGAATATCAATAATATACGATTATCAATTTTTTGTTTTCAATTATCTTTCAATCTTTGATAAGATTAAATTCTAAATACGAAAATTTGGAGTTTCAATGAAGATATTATTTGCAAGCCTCAATAGTTGTGATTCGTTGGTACATGCGAATTTCTGAATTTATTTGAGAATGAAACTCTCGTGACAATATTTTTCGTAAGTATTAAGGCTGACTGTTCTGAAGTAACTTTCACTTTCGATACGTGTCCATTAGCGAAAAACTTTCGAGAACAACTTAAAACTCGAGAAATTTTGTTCCCAAACGAATTGTGAAGAATAGAAATATTTGCAATAATATCCAATTAACTGTCGCGGAAATCAGAATCAAAACGTGTGCGTCATTCGAAAAAATAAGTGTTCCAAAAATTGTTGTCGAAGAAATTCATTGCCAATTTTCTTTGTTTGATGATGATATATCTCGAAAACAAAAGCCTCCAATTCTAAAAATTCGTAGCGACAGTTAAGTGGACACCATGGAAAAATATCCAAAGAATCTTTACGTTTTGCTACATTTTCCCATTCATCGAGAATATTTGCTCACATCATTGAGAATTTTTGTAACTTTCGACAATTGAGTATCGTCATATAATTGAAAAAAAAAAAATCCAAAGAATCGACGATTTGTAAAGAGCATATAATGTTCGAGAAAAAAAATTCCTCCAGAGTCGAAACAAGGTTGAAACACGCTGTCTGTCTGGCGACGAGAACGCGAGCACCGCGATGCCCAAGAACGCTTCGTTTCGGCGAAGGATTGGAGCGTGTAGTAACAATACCTTTTCTAAGTGGCCAGGTTTCGACATCCGCAATAAACATTTACATAAATGTAATTATTCGTGAACACGTTACGATGTATCTACTATCGGCCATGCCTGTTGTCGGTTTCCGTGTCGAATTTCCCTTTTACAAATTGTACAAAGTGTTTCCTTTTCCATCAAGTGGCGCCACCGCATCGCGGAAGTCGAACGAGGAGAGTCGGAAACGACACAGGTTCGGCCACGTTCGAAGCTCAATGCGAAACTAAAGACACATGTTTTGGGTGTAAATCAACGCGGACACGGTTGGATCGGCTCGCTTTATGGCTACATTTTCTCGTACTCGAGGAACTCTAATTCTTTTTCAGATGCGATCATTGAACGAGTTTCGAATTCGTGAAAATTGGATTAACAAAAGTAGTTTATCAAGTAATAAATAGAAAGTAAAAAGAATTGATGAAATTGATTCGTGATTTTCTCTTCGAGATTTATTGGGTTGGTGGAAAGTAATTTGAAAATGAATTTAACGTGGTGTATTTGAAATTATTTGAATTTTTTAAAATTGTTTCGCGGTTTATTAGTAAGTATTTCGTTTTTTTTTTTTTCATTTGCATATGTCAATAATTTGACCATTTGTTGTTAAATGATAACGACCTGTTAGATTTATTTTACAACTCGAAATTCCATCACAAAATTTGGTGACCAAACCACTGACACGTTCGTTCTCTCGCAATATTTATTTATAAAGTTGTAATATTTTTTCGTATGAATAGTTACATTTATATATTTTTCAAATTCATATTGGAAACAGAAATATCGCGGAATGAGCGTGTACAGTGACAGATTTTTGTAACAATTTGTTATACGATGTAAAAATTCTTGCCATTTTCCTTTTAATAAATGTTAATGGTTAATATTATTTTATTATTATATATATCAATAACATTCGTTTAGTTTCTCGTCCAAACTAATTATATATAACAATCATTTACCAGTACAATCATTAAGCACATTAAATTAATAATTATTCGTTTCTCCAGAATCAAAATAACTCACCACCACCAACCCATCATTTTCTTTCTAACGAAATAAAATAAAATCGATACACTCTGTCCTTTTCTCCATTCCCTCTTCTTCTCTCCAGATTCTTATTCTCAAAACCAAATGGATAAACGAGAGCCACGCTTTCTCGTTCCATAAAGCGACCGAACAATCGTATCCATGCAATTGATCGTTACTCGTTTACCCGTCTCGTTCTTAGCGAAACTTTCGTCTCTCAGAAACGCCGCCGCGTGCTTACGAGGATTCGAGGCGAGAATGATAAGAGTTAAAGAGTCGAAAGAAAGAGAGAGAGAGAGAGAGAGAGAATTAAAAAAAAGAAAAAAAGATGAAAGCGAACCGGCGACGTTCTCGACGCCCGATCGCTGCGACGGTGCTCGACGAAGAGTGGATCGAAGGGCGAGAGGATCGTTTCCCTCGCCGTTTCTCCCTCCCGTCGATTTCTTCCTTCGATCTGCGGCGTGTTTTTTACCGCGCCGCCACCCCGCCGATCCTTCGATCCATGATGAAGATCGAGACGAGACGAAGAAAATTCGGCTCTCGAGCGTGGAAAGAAGCGAGTGTTGTGATCGGACGTGAATGGAATCGTTTGCTGTGACGGTGATCGTGTAATTTAATCTTGTACATAGGGTACATTTTGTATATTGTTAAAAGTTTGTGTGATATAAATGGTTATGTATTTACTATTAAAAAAAAAAAAAAAAAAATATGCGGCGAAACGGGGGTAAACCGCCCGTCCTCGTTCGAAGGGACGATCGCGGCCACGATGACAAAAGCGATTGGCCATCATCATTTGGACGCGTGGCCA